AGTAGTATAGAAATCATTAGAATATCTTTTCCATAGATTTGAAAATGTATCTGAGATACAAAACTCGTTAAAACCATTACCCGGTCTTTAAAAACATTCGCTCCTTCTCTTGTTTAAGTTTCTCAAGACCTGCTGGATTGGAAATTCTAAAGCTTATAAGTTAGAAAAATCTTCATTAGTAAAGCAAAAATTGTCATAGACTCAAAATTTTTGGATACTTCTCGTTCTATGAAATGTAGATGATGCAAGAGCAAAACATGTCTTGAAGTTTTGCTCATTGCAAGCATTCATAATTCAACTTTAGGATCGAATTGATTTTTGTAAAAAGCAGGACCCGATCGGGGTGTACCTTTTATTTTTCTTTGAAAAGAATATGGTTTCCTTCGGTTAGAATAACCAAAATACTGGACGCTTTGTCAAAAAACATGTACAGTAAATTATTTAAGATATGTCAAAAATGACCACAAAATAGTGTAAAGAAAAACGGTATGCATATAAATCCAGATTTGATCTTATTTATCACACAAAAAGTTTGTGCTCAGTCGGTCCAAACGTCTGATGGAAAAAGGAGGGCAGCTTCAAAATTTGTCTTACCATTAATTTTGAGTAAAATACTAAACAATAAAAATGTTTCCCTAATTCCGTTACGTAAATTTGATTTCTTAACCGTTAAGACTAACTCTTGGATCCGAAAATGTGCTCGATAGATAGATACTACAATGACCACAACAAACAAAAATTTAGTTACGAAAGGGCATAGGAGCTTAATGAACAAAATCATGAAAAATGTACATCGTTGTCAATCAGTTTATTCACAATTCATAGTCATCCGAGACATCATCCGTACAATCGAATTCTTTAACTAAAAGCTTGACTGTAATTTTCAAATTTGATTATATTGAATGAATTGATTCTTGAAAGTTTATTGTCTATGACTTTTATACACTTATATCCTTCCTTTTTTTTTTCGGTATATCACTGAATCCATATGTAATGCTTTTTGTATGCCGACGGAAAAATTTTCATATAAAACCGAAGTACCACGATACCATTGTGAGAACAGAAAAACTCCAGTACGTGCCACGTTTTTGTCGCTAGAACAACGCACATCTCTTTTCTCATAGCCAGATTTTTCCAATCTGTTATCAGGTGTGCGCCTGGATGACATGACTGTAGAGTGTCGCGAGCATCTAAAGTTGCTTTTTTAGTATAGATCTGCCTGAGTATGTATCATGACAAGACTCAAAGCAATGGACAGACCCATATTCAGGTTAAGCCACATAAGCCGCGCCCACATTTCATATCCAGGCCTACAACTCTCAACAGCTCACGTCAGTTTTTTTGCATAGCTGTGCAATCGAAACTTTTCCAAATTGCGCAACGGTGTCTTTCTGACAGGTGACGCAATTCATGTTATTTGGTGTGAGTGTGGGTGTGACTGAACCGAAAACATACACATCGACACCCTTCCTTGACGACTTGCACATTATTCTTCTCTTGATTTGTCATCCTGACACTGAATGACAGAAAAATATAACAACATTTCTAGGCAAAGATAACAACCACACCTTAATATCTTCATTTTGTCATATTTCAAAGTTTTGTTTTTGTTACTTAATAGGCTCGAAAAGAACTACTGTAATCATCATATGGATTATCTTTGATTTGTTGACAAAATAGTTTTCAAAACCGGTTTAACAGCTGATCTACTTATAAGTGTCATTTGTCCTTATTGCCAATTTTCGTAAAATCTTCTGATAAAAGTTCCACTAGAACGATGTTTCAGAAACTGAATATAATCAAAATGAGCTCAAGATTTGAATGTAACTATATAGTTCTCCATTTGGAACAAAAAGGAAACACAATGTTTTGATATATTATATTACATGGTTTCTGAGAAGGTCAATATGAAGAGGTGTTGATGCATAACCAACTGTAAGTAAGTTTGATGGAAGACATTATTCATAAAATGCGCGATCATTAGCAAGACCAACATAGAAAGTATCGCGAGAGAGAATACTGAATCTTGACGTTCAATTATGCGCTGGTAAATTGATTGCATTGTTCTATAATTCTTCTCGGTGAGAAACTATAGTCGGTCATCATAAAATCAAAGCTCAACATTAGTTCATATACTTTGATGCAAAGTTTAGTCAGATTATTTTGTTTCGCGTTTTTTAAATATAATTTTATTTAGATCTAATAGTCGTCTTGTCTGGTATAGAAACACAGTGGACAACCAAATGGACATTAGGTGAAAAATCGAAAGTGCACTTTTGCAAGATTCAATTAGTGCTAGATATACTTCGGACTATGGACTGCTTAATGGCGTTAAAAGTTTTACTACAAAGTTCAAGTAGAGTGGAAAATGAGCCAATTGAAAATAATTAAAAATCAGCCTGCAAATAACGCTATCTATACAACAAAAATTTTTTTTTTACAAAATCCGTTGAAGTGACAGCCAAAAACAATACATATTATAAATTTGCATAATGTTCGCTACCGATTTATAATAAAAAAAGTGGTCAATTACTACTGAAGATTCCTTAGAAAAAAATTTTCTCTTTTTCCACAGTACTTTTCCAAACGGCTATATTAGTAAAATGGGTGCGCCCTCCAGCGCTCAATTAGAAACTTATTCAAACTTTGCCAGAATGTTCTCCCATATGTCCTCTATCGTCCCAGATAGCATAAATTAGCATAAATATTCGTGGACCCTACAGCAGGTTTTCGAAAAAACCATGGTTTTTTCAGGTATTTTCAATTTTTTTTGGTTTTAGAGACGTTCTTATTCAATACAAATATCATATTTAGAATCAGCGCACAAAACTGCATCGAATGATGTATGATTTATTAGCTTCTCAAATAAAAAGTTTTTTGACAAAAAATTAGGGCGAGGGTCCCCCTCAGGGATTTTTCATAAAAAAATTATTTCCTGGATTTCACGTTTCTTTCACCAGTGACTGTTTTCTGAAGGGTAGAAACTAGTATTTCTGTGAAAAAAATACGATTTTAACATGAAATAAGCCATGTCCACATGCCCTCTATAAATCGCCCACTGTGAGAAAGGTAAAAAGATGCATATGATGAGAAAGAGAATAGCACGAAGAAAAGATAAAAATAAGTAGTTGGTTACGTGTACGTTCGAACGACAGAGCAGTACAAACAGTTAAAACAAGTATAAAGAATGAAAAGAAATACGAAGAAGAGACAAAATATGCGTTGTCATTATGACGATAGTATGATAGGTTTGTATAGATATATATAGTCTATACAACGACTGCTCTTTTTTTTCATTGAAGCACTTGCATTAACTTTTTAAAGGATAATTTTTTGTCGAGAACAAATATGTATACTCTTTCATCTAATACATTCATTAAAAATTCCAACATCTATTTGTTACCTGGTGTAACTCCTGAAACAATTGAAACTTGTTCTTTTCTTCTTCAAAAAAATCACGAAAATTACCACGTCTTTTTCAATATACAAGGGGGTTTTCACAATCATACCGCACATCATCTGTTAGCTGCCTTAGGTCTTGGTGCTTCATCTCAAACATTGGAACACATCTATGAAAAACAGAAGAAAATTCAACAGCCTTTAGCTTCACTTCATAAGAAACAAGAATTCGACGTAAAGAAATGTTTAGGTGATGATAATTACTATCATGATTATTTGGACTTCTTTACAAAAGAACTGGACAATGAAAAATATCAAGGAAAAATTGAAGATCTAATTGAAGATTATTTATTCAATAAAGATTATCTTGTTCTCTTATTAGGTGGTGCTTATCATGCATTTATTCATCTTGGATACGCTTTGGAATTTCAATCAAAAGTGATGGCCATTGAAGGTTTGGCCATGGCAGCAATTGATCGAGTCAGTGTTAAGGATGTCTTAGAACATTTGAATTATGATCAAAACAGAGATGGTGATAAAACAGCTTTGGACATTACTGAATTGATTGTCAACGATCGGCGTTTTGATGAGAAAGTTCTTTATACAGATGAGAGGCCGAAGATTTATAGGTTATTGGAAAGAGGTGGTGGTCCATTGATTGCAGAATATGCTCAAATGTGGAAATCTGATTTAGATGATGCCAGACGAGCTAGTATCTTAGTGAATGCAGCTGCTATACGACCAAAAAAATCACCTCATCTCGACTTCTTCCTAATGCATGCAACAACAAGTGGTCTATTCTTAGACATATTGGTTCATTCATTAAAAAAGAAAGAAAATCAATTAAAATTGATGAGAGCCAAATTTGCAGTTGATCTTCTTTACTATGTTGCACGTGGACGACCAAAATTAAATTTAAATTATTTATGCAATGAATATCAAGTGTCAAAAGAACATTCGTATTCAGATGCACAAAATCCATGGTTACCTCTTATTGACAAATGTTTAACACATCCAGATGAACATATACCAAAGACAATAAGAGCATTGATCTATGCGGAAAAAATTGATAGTGCGCAAGATAAAGATAAATTGCCTTATTTGAAAATTGCACAAATGGTAATGGATGCTTTATTTCCTGCTGATAAGAAGGATTGGGTTCAGGAAGGAATTGGTTGGGAAGAATATTGGAAGACAGTAGAAGATTTATGAAAATATTCTTTCTTTTTATTTTATTCAAAATATTTTTACTTAGTCTTGAAATAAATTTTTTCGTTGACTCGTTGCGATATATCACATTCAACTTCAACTAGCTTAGATTTCCTTATTTAGATATTATTGTTGAATAGACAGAAAAATGAAGTGAATGTTTTGTGAAAAAATAGAAGTGGTTAATGATCGTATTTAATTAATTTTTTTAGAATTTTAACTTCTAGTTTCAAATCTTTATTATCACGTATGACCATTTTCGATACAGAGTGGGCTAAAAATCGTTTAAAGTGTTCTCGATATACTTTTGAAACAGTCAGATTTGTCAATTGTCGTTCTCAGGCACTTAAATTTTCCGCATTCTTTTCATTTCAATCAAATATTACGTTTGTTTAATTATATTTGCGTTCTCGTTCATCGACGATCCATTTTTTCAAAAGAGTGATATAATTAACTACGATAATATTTTTTCGAATACCGGAATTTGCATAATTAATCTCATTATTGACATGGATATGGATCCATTGTTTTTCTTCAGAGCTTCTACCGAGACAATCTTCATATGTTACTGAAAAACATGCTAGACTAACACATTTTATTGATGTAACTTTTGGACCTTTAATTTTATTAAAATAATCCCATAACGAATACTGTTTTCATCACCTGTTGGCCATGGAAATAATGTATTAATTTGGATTAATTCATCTTTTTTAGTTTCATTCAATTCAGGTAAACCATAAACCTGTTCAACGCTAAATAGATCCGATTCGAGTTGCATTTTATCATTCAATACTAATGATGTTAAAATCAGATCAAAATCTTTGTCTAAGAGTTAATAAAAACTTTTCACATCATGTACAGAAAAATAATTAGCTCCACGATGTTTGGTTATCGACGATATTAGTTGAGTATTTAAATCAATACTAACACTAATAAATGTTGTATAAATATGTTGTTTTGCTAATTGTCCAATATGCGTATCAAAGCATTTGTCCTTTAAATAACCTTGATTTGGATGTACATCAGTTAGTAATAAAATTCGATTATCATATTCATTATCTGTCAATAATGAAAACGTGTTAAATAGCGATGCACTATGCTCAATAGCAGCACTCATATTCGTTCCACCATCATCGTAAATTTTGGGTGGGATGTGGGTGTGGGATCGGTATAGTGTGATTGAGCGGAGGTATGAGGATTAGGTTGCTGATCTTGTCTTCATTCACTCCTAACTACCTACACCCTTAAGGTCAAGATATTGATGAAGAAGTCATGTAAAGAAAAGAAGAGAAGGAAAAGGAAGTGTATCAGTCATAACGGTTATAAATATGCTTCGTTATGAACGCGCCAGCTTTGGTCACTGCGTTGCACGATTATCACGAACGTGTTGTTATATGTAACTAATACTATAAAATAGTGTGATTATAATCTATATATTGCTATTTACAAACGTGCCATCAATATTTGTACTGCATTCATGACACCAATTTTATAACTATCTCTGTATAATCGGCTGTAGTTGTATAACTGAGAAAAAAAATCAACCTTTATTTACGAAAAGACAAGTATAGTGCAGCGAGATTTGATCATAATGAAAGTATCCTTACATGATGGTCGACAACAAAGGTCCAAACAAGCCACGTTTTGGAGGCCTGTACGGCCTATCAACTTTTTCAACCGAATACAACAATAATAAAAGACTAGAAACCAGAGGTCCAGACAGAGCACTAGGACTATCGGCCTGTGTGGACCTCTGGTCGACAATGTAAAAATGAATCTTGTGCTGTCACTTCTTGGGATGCTCTTAAATTTGCCACCAGTCTCATTCTTCCACTTGCGTTGGGGATTTTTTCGGCAGTTATTACTTTAGATCAGCAAAATCTTGCTTTAAAACAAAGATTAGAAGACCGTCAATTGGCCAAAGAGCAGAGAGAACAAGACTTGAATATCTCGCGTATACAAAGTCTTGAAGATCGTTTGATTGCCTGCGAACAACGCGAACTAGATCGACAAACTACGCAACTACAGTGTGACCTTGATAAGAAACTTGCTGATGAAAGGCTTGCGCATGATAAAATACTCGCCGAGGATATATTACGTGATAAAGTTTTTATAAAATACATGAATGATATCAACCAATTACTAAAAGAAAATAAAGGACTTCTAACTGTTGATCCGATCATGGCTTTCATTACCCGAGTGAAAAGACTTACGATTATCCGTCAACTTGATCCATTGCGCAACACTGAACTCATCCGTTTTTTTTATATGATTTTAATCAATTCACCAACGGAGCTAATTCAATCGATTTATCTAATTCAGAACTGGATAAGATTAATATGAGTAAGATCGCTGCATTCCATCATAAACTACGCCCCCTATCACTTGTCGGTGCCTATCTGTGCAATACTTCGTTCAACAATCTTGACTTGTCGAATTTCAATTTCAGTAACAGTATACTTGATAATGCCACCTTTAAAGATAGCAATTTAACCGACAATAATTTTTCCTAGGCAAGTATTGTACATACCGATTTTGGTGGTACAAAAACAGAACATGCTCGCTTCACCCATGGGTGTGGTTGCCAATACAAGGCACACCCATACGCACATCCACACCCACCTCACCACACCCTGCCATACGTGAGACACTCACCAGTCACCTAAAAAATCACTCGGTAATGAATTTCCAGGAATTTTACGAAAATTCATTATAGGATTTTCAACTAGGAAAAGAATTCTTATATCAGCTAGGTGTTTGCATTCATTAACTGTGGCAAAATGATAAGCAATCTCGAATTTCATTGTAGATAATTTTCAAAAAGATTATGACTTGCTAATTGTATTTTGTGACAAACTTCCCCGAATTATCAGAGTCTATATACTCGTTCCAATGAAGTCATTCCCATCGATAAACAAATATTTTAACATTTGGAAATCGCTTGAATCTCCGGTGGTTAGCATTAAAATTTTCAATTTATTACTTAGAGATGCAGTCGGCAAACTATTTGTTGGCAAATATCATCTCAGATGTTTTTACCACTAATTTCGTGTTACAGAAACTACGAAATTCAAAACTAACATTGATTTTCGTAGGACGTCATCGAGAAAAAGACTTTGTGTTTATTACAGAATATAGATTCTAATCTTGAATATTACCTAAGAATGAATTGTTTAGATTTGAGGATTGGAACGGCGAGAAGAACTAGATGAAGGTTTTTTAATATGTAATACATTTTTGCCCTTGAACTCATACTGTTCAATGTTTACAAACTATGATTGCAATAAAACGGATCAAAGAGATTAAACAACTTTATGAAACAACAAGTAATTATCTGTTTTCTTTTGGAATTTAAAATATCCAATGTACGTAAATGGAATAAAAATGTTTCAATAATATGGAGTGGAGATTTTAATCCTAATAAAATATCTTTAGAATTGCATCTTCTTTCTGCTGGTGTTTTATTAACTGATAAGAATAATAAACAATACAACGAAGGTATATAAAAAAAATCGTAAACAAAAAAAATAATTCTTGTTTTATTTAAGATTACGATAAAATAATAGAAGAATTCGATTATAAAACTCCAATTCAATTAAGTACTTTTTTGCATTATGCATATACAATATATACGTTGACATTTCATGATGTTATTGATCATATATTTTATGATTCCAAAAGCTTTCAGGGTATAGGTTAGTGTGACTTGATGTTCTTTTTGCCCTCGTCCAAAACCCATATCCGCACGACGCGCACATCTACACACCCACTACCCACACTCACCCTACTTACATCCACCCACACCCGCACCCTCATCCAAAATTTTAATCATTCAATCTCGCTTGTTGTTGCATCATGTGATCATTTAGAACAATTTTCATATTAACTGGATATAAATCTTTCTAAATCGAGCATCTCCCTTATATTCATTGAAATTCAATCAATAGCCTCCTTTATTTTTGCGAAAATCATTATTTGAATTTAAAAGTACTTAATATGAAACTCCAATTTACTCACATTCCATCCTCTACAATAGATATTATACAAATGAGAAATAATCTCAATAGAAATTGTATCTGATTTATTTTCGCAATGAAAATGAAGTATTTGACTTAAGTTTATCAACAAATGTTATTGACAATGTGTAGAATGAGAAGCTCTCTAAAACGTTTTATTAGTCTAATAAGTCCTTGTAGAATACGTGCCGTTTTCAAAGCTCCTTTCATAGTAATAAAGATCATAAAAAAGCAATCAAACGTTTATGAAAACAGATTTCTGCAAGTTAAAGTAAAATAATGGTAAGAGTTTGTACTAACTGTCTGTTTTCTATTTAAAAACTTCAAATTGTTCTTTAATCAAATGTTCATCGACGTTCGATGAGTGCATTGATCAATCTCTTTATAAAACTGTACCTAAATTGCATTGATCTTCACATTAGAAAAATATCAATAACAATCTAATTCAACAGTCGGTACACAATAATATTGATAAATTGAGTGATCTTTGCTAGCAAATGCGTTTGGGTTTTATTGATTATGCTTATTGGACGGCATTTATACTTTCAACAAAAACGCTAAATTAATTGCAGATCAGTTCTAATGAAAAAGTGATTAATGTTTTTATTTGAAAACATTTCAAGAATTATATGAAAAATAAGTTTGGAATATAAGAAACATTCTTAATTCTTGATAGAAATATCATACCGAAAATAAGGAAAATCACTATCCAAAGTACGTGTAATATTGGCTTTGAGTTGATTAAAATAAGTTGATGATAGGAACTTTTGAACAACTCGTTTATCATAATCTGATTTATCGTTGCGTGTCGCCCAATGTAAACTAAGAGAAATAAATTGCAATTTCTTGTTGGAGAGAAGTATATTTGTTCACCAATCTGCATCAAGCAAATTTCTTTCTTCTATACACACACTATAAACAAAAAGTCTGCATAGATTAGGGCAACATGAAAATAAATGTTTAAGAAAATTTTCCCACCAAATATAATCAACATAAGATGACTATTTTAAATTCAACGTTGTCATAGCTATGAGAGTTGTACTGATTGGAACGAGCTCAATATTCGAATTTTCCGTGACGTCGATTTCTCTATTGAGTTCGCCTTGAGTTATGACTGAAGAATTTGTGGATGATTGAGATGTTGAATGGGAAAAAATTTCACCATGGTAAATTTCAGCTGAAAATGAACGAAGCTGATGACATTGATTCAAGAGTTGAACAGTCAAGTAATGATCAAGTTGGTCTATTCGTACATAGAGAAGAGATGGAAAAGAAAATGTAAACTCGTTGCCCATGATTTCTGCCTTCATATTATATCCATTTATACATAATCGTTGAAGCAAATGATAGTGCTGAGAGAAAACAATGCATACGAGCCTTTCTTTTAATTTAAATTCTGCACTATCAGTATCAAGATTAATAATGAGCGAATTAAGAGCCGAGAAGGATGAGAGATGATTAACAATATTACATTCATTTGTGTCCAAAAATGTGTATGTCAATCTGAGATGTCGAACTTGTTTGAATCGTTCCAATGGATGATCCTAAAAACAAAAAATAATATCCATCCGTTTCATTTAGAAATAAAAAACAGCTAAATTTTGAATGAATAAAATATTTGATTTAAGAAAAAAACATTCCTTTTTAAATGAATATGAAAACAGAAAGTTCTGTTGAAGTCGATTTTTGTTTCGTTCCTTATTGGAAATGAAAAAAAAATATTAAACAAACTCGGAAATGTTAAATGTACCTGAAAAAATTTGTGAATAAAATTTGAATGACTGATCGAGTTCGAAAGTGAAAGTGAAGTGAGTTTTTCGGACACAAGTAATTGATTAATGCGTTTATTTAAGCCATAAAATGTGAGGAAAATATTTATTGAATCGAAGTAATCGAATATTTGAAGCCATAATTCATTTGATAGATCTTCAATGTACGATTTATTTTCGTCAGACATATTGTTGTTGTTATGGTTTTCGTCATCTAAATTGAAATTATGATGTTCGAGTATAGTTATTGGATCGGTTTTCGTCAGAACTTTAACAAGAATTCCGTATGGACGAACGTACGCTGAATCATTGATAATATAATAACGATATTTTGAACACTCTGGTATTCGAATCTTCAAGGAATGAATTCGACACTGTAAAGCCACTGGTATAAAGCAATGTTTATTATATTTTATTGGTTCAATTAGCTTACAGTCCATCATATATTCAAGATTTGATGTTAAACATATACCTTTTCCACATGTGCTTTAATTAAAGAATGGCGCATTAGGTCCGACGTCTTTGGAGGTTTCAAACTGTCTATTATCAGTGTCACAGCCGCTTTTTAAGCGCTCTTGAGTTATGAATTGTAAGGATTGTAGTGTATCACGTCTAAATCCGTGAAATCCAACAATCCATTCATCTGAAAAGTCATCAGAGGTTACCAGTGTAGAACCAAATTTTTCTGCATTTAAACCATAACATATCCAACCTTTGAATGGTGTATAATAATCCCAATTACCACTGGTTAACTTTACTGCTTTCACGTTAGAATACCGAGCAATGCCTTTACTGCCAAACAAAGTTGATGGAATTCAAAAAAAACTCACTGGATCAATTTGTTCAATGACGCGATCGAGGTTACTTTCATTCCAAGAATTCCAGGAAATTAATGACATTCTAAACGAACATTAAGGAAAAAAACATGGGTCAGTGAATCGTGTCTCTTTAGGAAAGGAGGACTATGATGTATTTTCAGCTGGCTATGCGTAGCGTTGGAAGACAAGTAAAACTAAAAGTCACATTCTCATCCTTACCATGAATCTTTCAATACACTTCATTTCACTCGTCACTTTCTTTCTTTGTCTAACTTCCATCCTGCCGAACAAATCGCTTACTTATTGCTCCTGTGCTTTCGGTTACCTCATGTCTTTGATTTCTTTTTCTGTCAAAGGTAAATACTCAACAAACAAAAAAAGAATTAAATGTTTTATCTTAGATTTCATAAAATTTTTGGTAGCTTTTTTTCTGCTTCTTTTTCGTTCTTCATGATAAATATGCTTCCTTTTGTTTCAATGTTTTTATTGAATCATATTATGAATATGCAAATAAAACAGCCACCTTCTGGAAACTGTGTGTAAATTATCTGTGCCGAAATACGTGAAGCATATGCCAAGAGAAGCTATCGAAGTTACACCGGTCAATAAAGTTATTTCAATTGAACTAAATACTAAATCAATATCAGTTAATTCAGTATATTAAAAAAAAATGTTATATTATGCTTGTTCTTACGAAGAGGCATAGAAAATTTAGCTGAAAAGTTCACATATTGGGTTGATTAATAGCATATTTCACTATTATATATGTATTAAATGAATATATAATCTATCGGATAAACATTATACGAAAATTAGTAGAACAAGAAGTAAGAGCAATCTGTAATCATGTCACTGTATCGATGAGATGATTGAAATATTAGCATTTTGAATTGGTTCTACTATATTGCATGTATTTAAGAAGAAGAAAACATGTCTGGAGTAAACATATTCTGTATCCTAAACTAATTTTTTCACTAGCTTTTGTCTTTCAGCTGGACATTTCACTAATCTTCATCCTTAATCATAAGTTTCATACATAAATGAAAAAATAAAATCACATAAAACATCAACAAAGATTAATATTCTATATATCTCTTTCATAAATTTTAATGACTCATATATCATGAGAATATATCTATAATGATAAAAAAAAAGAATTGACGTTTTATTTTTCTGAAAAGTTTTTTCTATGCCTTATTCTAAGAAAAACGATAAAAATATTATTAAAATTGAGAATTAACTTAATACAATATATTATTATTAATATCATATAGGGCGTGGGTGTGGGTGTGGTTCTCGCCTAAACCCACACCCACATCACACACCCACACCCTCACCCACACTCACACTCACACTCACACCCACACCACACCCACACCCATATAAAAAAAATCGAATGAAAGACTACTGGTCTACTGACTCCTTGATTTCTACACCTATGTTTGCAGATATCATGAGTAGGGACAGATTTCTTTTACTTCTATGATTTTTACACTTCAATGACAACGAATACCAACAATCTGATGATAAACTATATAAAATAAAGTCGATAATTACTAATTTACGTGAAAGATTCAGAAAAATTTTAGTGCCTTATCAAAATTTGTGCATTGATGAAAGCTTGATGTTGTAGAAAGGTCGACTTAGTTTCAAACAATACATTCCATCTAAAAGGAGCAGATTCGGAATCAAAATATACTTCATATGTGATGTTCGCACTGGAATGATTTTAGATTTCATTATTTACACAGGAGTCACTACTGACATGATGAAATTTCCACATGTCGAAGTTTCTGGTTCAATTGTTATGACTTTGATGCAGCCTTACTTAAATAAAGGTCATAATTTATTCTTAGATAGTTGGTTCACAAGTCCTACACTTTTTGAAACATAACATGCAAGATCAACTGGAGCATGTGGTCCTGTAAAAGTAAATAGAGTGGGCTTACCTAAGTTCAAAGAACAAATTAGGAAGGGTCAACAAGTTTATAAAAGTACAAACAACATGCTGGCACTGAAATGGTATGATACAGGAGAAGTTATATTGCTATCTACTATCCATCAACCTCATATGGGATTTACTGGAAAAAATGACACAAAAACTAAGCGACCGATTCAAAAACCAATTTCGATCATTGGCTATAATTCTAACAGAAGGGCAATTGACAAAGTTTGCATGCAGATTAGTTTTTCTGAATGTGTAAGAAAATCGCTCACATGGTATAGAAAATTATTTTTTCATATGTTTGATTTATCAGTCTTCAACTCATATTTGCTTTACAAAACGGAAACTGAAAAGAGACCTGAATTAGTAGACTTTCGTTTGCAACTTAAACGTGAAATTTTACAAAACTATCATATTTCAAAACCTACAATTGGGCATCCTGTACACGGCTATAAACCAACTCGACTCACTGCTAGACATTTTCCTTCTCTTGTACCTCAAACAACGGAAAGAAAAACTTCTCAGAAACAATGTGTTGTATGTGCACATACTAATAGACGACCTAAAAAGAGAACATATTCGCGTTATATGTGTCAAGATTGTGATTTGGGTCTTTGTGTAGTTCGTTGCTTCGAGGAATTTCATACCTTGATAAACTTTTAGTTTTTTTTCTTCCTACGTTTTTTTTCATTTAAAAATGAACCAGCTGCATCTTTCAAATGAGGTCTAAGGGCAATAATTATGACCATTAATAACTTTCAAAATATAATTAATTTTCGCAACACAATTTCATTTTTTATGAGAAAAAAGTTCGCCCTCAACAGGTTAATTCGTGTAGTTTTTCGACATGGTTCTAGTGAAAGAAATAAAATAACACTACAGGATATTTCTTACATTTTACATTTGATAGTTCGGCATTCAAACGCAAAAAATAAAGAATCACACATTTGCTTTAATAGAGAAGTTACTATTAGGATTGGTGAACTAGTGTGTTCTATTAGAAACACATGTGTACATACAAGACAACCAAATCAATCGAAATTCTAAACGAGTATTTTAGAACACAGACTTAATTTCGTAATTTAAATACTATAGGGTGTCCAGAAAGTAGCAAAACAAAGAAAAGTTTGAATACATATCTCCGCCATATTTTGATCAAATGGGCTGATATTTTTCCCACTGATAAAGGAGTATGCATAGCTCATATTCATAAGAGAAACGTTCTCTAAAATTGTTTTGAAGTAGTGCAACTAACTTCAACAAAAAACTGTAACCTTTCACGAATCATTAAAAACCAATATTGCATGTTTTGCCAATGGCTGAAACTTTCAGAGTACACTAAGTAACAAGACATGTATTTGTAGTGTAACTATGAGACCAAACGACATTAGTGTGAAGAAGTAATCGAAAAAATTACATGTCGTTTTATTCTTGACAAAGGAAATAAATATATTGTTTTTTTCCATAAGTCGCTAAATGTTACAGTTTGTTGTTGAAGTTAGTTGTACCACCTAAAAACAATCTTTTACAATGTTTTTCTTATGAATATGAGCTTTGCATACTCATTTATCAGTGGTAAAAGTATCAGCCCATTTGGTCAAAACATGGTCGAGATATGTATTCAAACTTTTCTTTGTTTTGTTACTTTCTGAACCTCCTGTACGCATAATTTCAATCATTTTACTAATGCATCATTATACCAGTGAACAAGCACGAATAAGTACCCGATTGTAAGAGATACTGCTGTCATACATGTGATACGTACATCAAAGTTAAATTGTATTTTGTGTAAGACTTGCTTAATGAATAGAGATTATATGAGACAGATATGACAAGTTCCTGAACATTTTTCTATTTTTTCGGAAACAATATAGGTAAACTAGGGGAATCAGTCGAAATAGAGGGCACAACAAAAGATTAAAAGGATATATAGTACGAATTTGATCCCAAGTTATGACCTGACCTCTATAGACTGGTCATGTTATAATGGCTTTTATGTAGCCTATTAGGTTGTTCTTTTTCGTTCTTCCTTCCTATTTTATTTTGTGCACTTGCTGTGAGTTAGACTTTAGCATTCATCGCTTTTTTCTCTTTAAAAAGTGACACTGCCTATCTTGATTCGGTAACGAGTATTTGACTTATCATTTAGGTATTCCACCAAAACTTAATAGAATTCTCGTAACCCAACAATGCTGACCAATGCATTGTAAGACTTTCGCTGAAGTGAATCATAATCAGAATCCATCGGCCTTGAATGCATGTCGTGAAGAAAATGCAAGAGAACGAAAAAAAACACAAGGATTTTTCCAGTGACATCATGGTTAACTACATTCAAACTGTTCTGATGCCACAGAATTGTCCAACATAACAGAGCATGGATGACCACAATTGGAATAAAATCAAGATGAAACTATATAATTCCATCTTCACTACACAGTATATTGCAAATAAGGAAAAAAACCGTAAAAGAAAACAAAACAGCGTCAAACGTTTAGACGAGTGTTATTCTCTTTCACATTCACTCTTATTATTATTTCAATATACACTGAAAGAAGATAAGAGAGGAAATGAAGCTGGAATCATTGGCCAACGAACTATTCTTTGATCTATTCAACTTTTTTACCCTACCAGAACTTTATCGTGCATTTGGTAATCTCAACTCACGATTTGATTCTCTCATTATCTGTCATATTCATACACACGGCATCGATTTTCGATCAATAGACAAAGAGGACTTTGAGACAATCTGTCACCGTTATGTTCAATTACTATTCAACCAAATCACTTCGTTATGTCTTTCCGAAAATTCTGTGATGTCGGAACAAATTGATTGTTTTTATGCAAATGGTTTAACTCTGCAACAATTCACTAATTTACAATCACTGATGTTGTGCGGAGTTGGTGTTAATCACATGCTTGATAGAATCCAAATAGCATTACCTCAACTACCTCATATTACTCATCTAACTTTGGACTATTGTACTCTTGGCTATAACCGAGTAACTATTCTTCCTCTAATCAATATCATTTGGAGTTTACCAAAGCTTTCATATTGTTACTTTATCAATTCAATAACATTTTGTCATGATCAAGCATTATTCGTTCCTCCAACAGTAGCCTCATCAACTATAACACATTTAACGATCTGGAACATTGATGATCCGTATTGCGAAATGGCGGCTTTATTTGAACAAACGCCATATCTTCAGCATTTCTCCGTATCTGCGTGGACTTATTATCCTGATTTCAGATTGACATCATCGGTTCCATCTATCACTACATTAAAAATATCAGGATTTCCATATAAGACAGTTTGTGATCTTTTACAACGTTTACCTAATTTATCCCACTTATATCTGGGCGCAAATAATTCCGACGATCATCAACAATGGGAGGAACTCATCGGTGATTTTTTGCCAAAGCTGAAAAAATGTCAATTTAACGGGCGTCTCTTAAAAAAGGAGCTGCTCAAGAATTAGACGATATGTTTGTAAGATTTCATCACTTGATGCTTCGCTTCACATAAAAAGAGTTCAATGAAAAGTTCAACATTGGTATGGACTTGTCAGGCTTTTTTTTGAAAGTAGAATTCTTCAGCATGTGAACTTGTTTTCCTCTTTCTATTGAAGAAATGCAAAATCACTGTAAAGATAAATTTTTGACTTTTTGTTTTTCATATTCGGTCTGTAATGATACCAGAAGACATCGTATCTCATGACATCAGAATGTATTATGATGACAAAGAGCGACATTGAATTCAGTATGAAACAAAAGAAATATTTTCAAATAATGACCTCTTCGTGCATCTTCATATTGACCACACAGTTCGCCGATGGCAATTTTTATCAGAAAAACATAATGTTTTTTTGAAGCTATTGGATCATCACCCTTTATAATGTATTCTGTTAATAATGTGATGCGCAAAAGCAACATTCGATTATCAAAGAACACTTTTGTTATCCCGCATGAGCAAAGTCAATCTTTTCGAACACAATCCGGATGTGAGTGGGTGTGGGCATGGGTGTGAATATAGGTGTCGATGTGATTGTGGTCCACAACCACACACCAACACTCATATACACACTCTCTATAACTTCAAAATGAGACATTCAATAAATTTTTAAGCGCATTTTAGACAGACATTTCCACGTAGTTTTTATTCAAGTTTGTCGACGTTATAGAATACGACATAGATGTCTACTAGAAAATGGAAAGCGCTCGGCATTTTCGGCTTGAGTATCATCAGCGTGGAAACAATACAATGCTAACCGTGTTTCTATCGATTATAATAGCACTGTTGTACATCTCTCTTCACAGCACACAATCAATATTGAGTCCTTTCCGCTGGAGAATTATACGAGAACGATGCATTTAGTAAGTATTTGTCATGAATTTTCTCCTACAAACAATTGTAATATCACAACAAGAATCAATCACCTGAACCACTTTTTGATCTTGATGAAAACTTATAATGTAAGAAAAACGATTAGTGAGTGAGCATCACTAGTATTGTTATCTTTCCAATATGATTGAAAGCAATGCGCAGTTACTGTAAACAAATATTGAAGATATCTTGTTTGTTGTTCACTGAAAAAAATCGTCGCTTAATTTCATTGAATAAGGCTGATCTCAAAAAGTTCATTGTTTTGAACTCAAATGAGCGTTTTTGATGGTGCTTCACATGCTGAAACACAATCACATCTGCTAACAAGCATCATACATATGATGTACAAAATCGTCAGCATAATTCAGTAGTACAAATAGGTAGAGTATAATCGCCAAAAGTAGCACCATCTTGACAATTAATTGGTGCATCAGTGTTGAAAGCACTATAGCATCCTTTTCCTGTTAAGAAATATTTTAGCATTGGCTCTCTGTTATACAGTTTATCGAACGGTGATCATACGAGTTTCGATATAATATAATGAACAGTACTGATATAAGGCAAAGAGTTTCATACTTCGCAAACTGTAGCAAACGATCCACAATCCTTACTTCTGGCTGCTTTGGAATTATGAGAAGCATTTTTGCCATACTCAACTGAGTCTATTATATCGTGTGTAAGTACTGTGCGTCTGATAGAAGTTATAGAAAAAAAGTGATCTATTACATCGAGCGATTCATAATGATCAATGAAACTTTGCAATAGCTGCGGAGAACATTTAATGATAATTTTGAAAAACAGTAAAATTCGATAAACACTAAACAACAACTTGTTTCATGGAACGATGCAGAAGATCTATGCCCATACACATGTCATGTTTAAGCGATGTCCTAGTTTTGTTTTTCAAACACCATCAGTTATTCTTAGCTTTAAAAAAGTAAGAATACGACTCTAAGCATATACTGTGCCCAAACCAATCTCATATTATCCGAGCCAACAATGGTGTGGGTGTAAATGATCATGCGAATCTTCTCTCCAATCACAGCCACAACCAGCCGATACTTACACCTACATTCAAATCCTAACCTCAATCAACCACAATGATTTGAAAAATTACAGTTTTGTTTCTCAAACAGTATTAAGACTATCGCAACATGTTTTTGATGTCTTGTGCTCAAGAAAAATACTTCTTTCAACAAAGAAATTTCGGAAAAAAAGCTGTTTGCTAGTAAAATTGCAATATGGCAAAGTCTTTTGCATTGATATCAGTCTCTGATTTGAAATAGATAAACAAAGAATAGTGTCTAACTAGTAGGATAATAATAAACGAAATGAATAGAACTAAAATAACGAAAAAGTCATCTTAACTATTTAGCTTTTAAGCAATCTGAAAGTATAAAGTTAGCATTCTTCCTCTCATATGTAACTTAATTAAATAAGAGAACTTATAAAAACGCGTTTAAAACATTCAACGAAAAACGAAATCATGAACAGCGGACATTTTAATATTGAACATAGGGTGTGAGTTGTGGGTGTGTGGGTGTGGGTGTGGGTGTGGGTGTGAGTGGGTGTGAGTGGGTGTGAGTGGGTGTGGGTGTGGGTGTAGGTGTGAGTGGGTGTAGGTGTGAGTGGGTGTAGGTGTGAGTGGGTGTAGGTGTGAGTGGGTGTAGGTGTGAGTGGGTGTGGGTGTGAGTAGGTGTGGGTGTCGGTTTTCATCTTCTTTTGAGCTACACCCCATCCGCACCCACACCCTCAAGGGTACCTCTTCAGGGTACTATCAAGAGTACCTCTTCAGGGTACCACCAATGCTATCTCTTCCGAGTACCCTCAAGGGTATCTCTTTCGGGTACCATCAAGAGTACCTCTTCATGGTACCCCAATGGTATCTCTTCCGGATACTCTCAAGGACACCTCTTCTGGGTACCCTCGAAGATACCTCTTTCGAGTACCTCTTAACGGTATCCCTCAATGGTACCCCTCAAGGGTATCCCTCAATGGTACTTCTCGAGGGTACCTCTTAAGGGTACTCTCAAGAAAGACTTCACTGTGTACACAGATATGAGTATGGGTCGCGGCTATTTGGGGGGGCGGGAAGCGCCCCCACGCCGCGACGCTGAAATAAAAGGTGTGTTAGGTGGAGAAAAGTACTTCCCCACTGAATATTCGCAGAACACGTGACAAGTGAAAATTTGAATAGTTGAATACCTGAATAGTTGAATAGTTGAATTCAAGTTTCAAGTTTCACATATATGACTGTTCTTCTGCCGAATTGACAAATTATGAATTTTCTTTTCATAATCAACCATAATCTCTCTCTCGATGCCTAACAATGACAAAGCACTCACTCTGATATCGGACATACTATTATGTGCAGTCGTTTTGATAAGCTCCTATTTTCGGTGAAAGCAGTATATGTTCTTTTTGAACTCTAATAGCGTTTGTATCATAATGAGATGCATATGGATGGCGAATGAACATCGAACTGCCCAAAAAGGCTTTTGCTCGGGTAACTACTCTTTTATTCCAGAATCGCGACGTGGAATCACTTAAGATCCCCTTCCCTCTCCGTCCCACGTTGGACAGCCGGACGAAAAAATCGACTTTCGAGATTTAAGTCTATAGCATAGCTAGCATCGAAGCTACTATGGTGCTACATTGAAGTACATCTTGGACGCTGCTTGATAGTGAGTGTTTGTCAAGTAAGCAGATACCACAATGTATATAAAATAGATGAATATCATTAATTGGGTCATATAAGTAAAATGTATGTTTTTAATTGAGGATCTACTTATATTCATTAGTTATTATACAGTTATGCAGTTTCATGTATTTAACATACTATGTATGACAGGTCATTTGGACTTCTTGAACTTCTTTGGACTATAATAAAATCAAAAACTTACACCCAGTATAGTAAAAAGATAAGTACTGATCAATAATGCAGCTATTTAGTCAGATTTTTCTGAAACGTCAATTCAAGTTTTAATTTGTTATTTAGTAGAGCATGCCATCATCTATCTTCAGTGAATGCGCAAAAATACATGCTTAAAGCCTTTTTAAGATATTGCGTCTCAAATCTAACCTTCTAAAGAAATTTGTTGACAATTTTTATAGAGTGATCACTCATATTTCTAGACCATCAAGGTTTGAATAGGTAAATAAACAGTAAACGTATACCAACTTCTGATTTTATATTCACCGTCTCATTTTACAATCGATTCTTTAACTCTTTCTTAGGAATTAACTATATGAAAAAATGATGCATAGGTTCCCTTGTAAGACGAATACCTACGAATAGAAATCTTTCTCCTCTTTGTCTTTTTATGATGTCAAACTTTGTATTAAATTTATTACTGAGTAGAGATATGACATGAAAGTTTTATTTCATTTTGGTGTACATATTACGCTAATAAAACTCTCATGCCATATCTTTACTCAGGAATAAATTTGATGCAAAGCACGGCAGCATAAAACGACATAAAGGAAAATACTTTTGTCCGACGGTGTAATATGATTGGTTTCATACTTTTATAATTTTCCCGTTCGTAAAAATATGCCGAGCTGCACGATCTTTTTGAATTTCGTCCGAAACAGATAATGTTGGTAGAAGTGAATAATTTTTGTGGCCAAAGTTAACAAAGATTGCAACACATATTATGAGTATCGAGAAATTTAGGTTTTAAACAGAACTTTAGAAAATATGAAATAATTGGAAACTCATTTTAATACGTTTCAGGACATATTACAGAATGATTTCAAACTTTGCATAACTTTTGTAAAACTTCTCTACAACATATCAGAGAGACGTTGCTGAAACTTGAGAAATTCTATAAACTGATCCGATGGATTTCTATAATTTCATTTTTTTGTGACAAACTTCATAGCATCAGAGAGCTCATTTACACGTCGTAACTAGACTTGCGCGAAATCTGAACATTTGAATTTGATGTTTTCCCTACAACATTCGTTAATTCCAACCTGAGCACTTTTTTCGTTCTCCTTTATACATTTTCAAAATATTATCTGATGCATAAGTAAAAAATTGAAAAAAGGAACTGTATCTTCTATGTAAGCATTTACCTAGCCCAACTATTA